CAACCACACCCCCCACCACCACCACCACCACCACCACCACCACCACGACGACGACGACGACGACGACGACGACGACGACAACAACAACAACAACAACAACAACAGCAGCCTCTTTTGCCTGATGTCGTTCAGAAAGAAAGCCTGCTTGCAATTGCTGCCTGCAGTTCAACTGCCCCCCTTGCAAATGAAACGCGTAGAGGCATGGAGCAAAACTACGTTACGCACGAAGATGGGACCCAGGACCCTGAAGACCTCAACAGCTTGACCCGCACGGCAGAGGACCTTGGCCAAGCCACCTGTGCTCGTAGTCGAGCCTTCAGCTTTGCCAGCTCCGCGGAGCTAGCGGCCGCAGCATCCTTCCTGAGAGCGCCGCATTGCAACTAAGACATCCTGTTTACTTGCAGAGAATACTGACAACACATCATACGTTCGGACAAAGCAGCGCGTCTTTCTCTGTGTCCTGTGCCTTTGACTCAGCTTTCCGAATTCTCTCCCTCCAAGCTTCCTCATGCAGGCTCAGCACCGCTGGTGTAAAGTGTTAACCACAAACTGCCGTTCTGTCCTGAGCTTTGTGGAGTTCTTGCTCCATGTCGCGTGCCTTGGAGGGCGCTTCCAAGTTGATGACTGCTGAGGCACCAGCTGGCATGCTCATGCTTCAAATTGCGGATTTGGCACTTCTTGCTTCAGTCGACGCTCATTGGCCTGTTGAGATCTTCAGGTGTGATGAGGGTTCTTATTAGTGATATTAGTGCATCAAGATGACATGGTACCTAGATTGCGTAACGCCGTAGCGGCATGCAACATCGCTTGGCATCTGGGCATCTCTCGACCTTGCCTCCGCCTGCTCAGCGCGGCGGCGGGCCGACTGCATCTCGCGCTCCGCGGCGCGCACGGCCTCCGTGGCCTCTCTGAAAGAAAGAGGAGGTGGTTAGTGAGAGGGAGAGAGGAGGGAGGTTAGGAGAAATAAGGGAGAGATGAGGGGCACAGACGGAAGCGGAGCTGCGAACCCCCTGCGCACCTTGCTTCGTACAGTCTGGGTCTGCTCCCGACGCGCCACTTCCCGGGCTTCCATGTCTGCCAAGACATTCGAGAGGTCTGCAAGCTGACGCCTCGACTTAAAACTGCACCCGAATCTACACAGCCTAATACGTCATCACGCTAAAAACCATCAGCCCTGCTCGGGCTCATCTCAGGCCCATGCTCACGTTGTCTGAGCTGGCCGTGCGCGTCTTCCAGCTTCGCTCGCAGCTGCGCAAGCTCTGTTCGCAGTTCAGCGGAGCTTTCCTGCAGGTCTTTCAGCTCAAGGCTTTGAAGCCAAGTATGGAATCGGCTGCTGCCACCCTTGTCCTCGTGCTGCGACACAGGACTTGCCACATTGGAATTTTCCACCACAAGCGATGGGGCATCTGGAGTAGCAAGTCCGTCTGGTCCAGTGCTTGGCTGCAGTGGCCAAGCATCACCTGGCAAAGGGTTGCAAACTCAAGAGTTTGATGGCTCGAGGGCATCGCTACAGATTTCCCAAAACGTGAGCCTGCCCCTGTTGGCTCAGCATGCTCAGGAGGAGCACCGTCTCCACCGATGCTGGCTGAGACTTCGTCTTCGTCTGCATCAGGTTCAAGGTGCCTTAGGTGCTCCAGTGGAAGGAGAGGCTCCAGAACAGTATCTAGTCTGGTCTCAATTTGTAATTTCCTTATGGATGAATATGATAAGACGAAGATTACAAGAACCTGGGGGTGATTTCTTGCACGACGGGTTACCTGCCCATGCTTTGGACTTCCAGTCCAGCACTCTCCATCATTGGTTCCAGGCGGGATTCTGCGCTGATCCCTTGGGGCCTGGTCTCATCCAGCGCTGCAGTTGCTGCAGCGTCTTCTCCAAAAGGAAATTCCAGGCTGGAGGCAGCTGCGGTCACTTCAGCTTCATCAGCTTCAGCCTCATTCCCTGTAGATGCAACCACCTCGCCAGTCGACAACTCTACATGCGCCTGCGCGGCGGGTGCATCATCTTCAAATAGGAAATCAGCTGATGCTGCCTGCTCCGGTGCAGCAGGTGCATCTGGCTTTGCAGATGCTGGCTCATTAACGACTTCAAGTGGAGCATCATCAAAGGGATTTCCTTGAAATGCTCCCTCCTCTGTATTGTCAGCCAGCACTTCAGGCACTGGCAGCCCTGCATGGTCCGCCTCCTCCGACAGGTCAGCAAACATAGTTCTCTCAAACACACAGAATGTGCCTGGGGTGCATGACCAAGGGGTTCTATCTCGTCTTGTTGCGCTGGCTGGACTCCGTCGTGTGTGCCTGTACAACTGCAAGGGCTGCAGCAAAATCAAAATGAAGTTGATTTATCAAGCTGTTCTGGCTCTGCCTGGCAAATCTATGACATGCGGGGCTGCCGATTCAAGCTGCGAAGCTTGTCGGTCCTGCAACGCAGAAAAGCAACTGCTGCAGCTGGAATCTGGCCCTGCGGCGCGTCCTCGCCAGCATCCGCACTGTCCTCGCTGAAGAGGCGCCGTCGCTGGCCCTCTGCGTCTGCAGGAGTTTCTGTCGAGTTCGCTCCTCCTCCTCCAATTCGCATGGGATTCGCATGAAGGAGAGCACCGGAGCACAAATGATTTTCAGCTTGGGTTTTCCAGTCGCCTCGCGCCCATCCAAGCCATTTCTCCGCCACTCCTCAGTCAGCAGCTTTATAGGAAAACAAAAACTAATCATCAAACTGTCACATACAAACACAACTGCTTGGAACGAGCAAGAAGAACAAGCAAAAAAGAACGGCCTCATTTCAGCAAAGATCCGTCGAGGGATGACTCAAGGTCAAGCGATGGTTTTTCTGCTTTGGGATCGTCTAACTCAGACAGGAATTTGTACCTCAAGCGAGGCTAATGTTTCTTGAAAAACAAGGCATGGATGCAGATATTTCGGACAAAAAGACAGTTGCAGGCTTCAGCACGACGAGCTTGCAATATCTGCCCTTCGCTTTGCAAAATGTTATACAACTCCTCTTCGGAATTAGGAGTTTCCAAGCGAAGGGGCATCCAATAATCTAATCAAAGCAACAGAAGACTTGAGAAAACATGCATCCCAAAAGCCATGCATGTCCAGACCGGTGAGTAGGCCCTCGAGCACAATGCGCGTCGCATCGCTTGGTGCTTTCCGGGCTTTGCAGTAGCCGCACTCAGAATCTTTTTGCATGCATGGATTTGCGTGGATAGCTTCTTCGTGTGCAGCTTCAACTTTAAGTCCATTTCAGTTGACTGCAGCGGCTCTCCTTTTGAACTGCGCTAGCAGTAGCAGCCGTTTATGTCTTCTCATTCCAGCCGCAGCTTGTTCGTGCGCTGAAGTTGTTTCGGACATGTGTGCCGATTGGCAAATGACAAACATGTGGCGGGACACAGTTTACGAGCATGAACGCTAAACCCATGCAATGGCTCTTTGTAGCAAAACTTCAAGGCTTGTGCCCGGCACAAACCTGAAATTGCTGTGGGGCACCCCTTGCTGAAAAGATCCATGCTGCCATGGGCAGCGGTCGCAAAAACAGTCAGGTAAGGCCCAGGCTGTGAACCTTAAGCTATATTGCCCTGTGGTCTGACATACACCACTGGAATTACAATGTCAATTTTCAGTTGTACCACGCACTGCGCTGAAGGGCTTGACATGCAAAGCTTGAGATACTTGAGCCAAACGATTTGGTCAAGCCATCGCACACAAAATGTGAACCAGCAGCTGCATGACTCCCAAATGTGATGACGAGGTGTTGGCTTAGCGCACTGTTTTTTTCTCGAAAAAGCCGACGGGGTCGGCACGTTCGCCGAAGTCATGGATCCCCGCCCCACCTGTGCCAGCCAGCTTTGGGCATCAAGAGTGGAGCGTCACGTCCGTGCACTCAGATGGATAAGAAATAGATTTTTCAGCCAAGCGGCCACTCCTCAGCCAGGGACCGCGTGTTCCTTCACAAATTGGCCTGGGCCAATCGGATGGACTATGCATGCAGGCTTGTAGCCCAGGATGCAAGGTGCACCAAGCAAGTAGTCACAGCTCAAAGACAAGCATGAATGAGGCCTCAGTTGAAGAAGTAGCTGGAGAAGAGCACGGAGAGGATGCAAATCAGCAGCAGGCCCCAGTACAACGAGGTACGGTTGAGCTCCACCTCGGCAACGTCTGTGTCATAAGGTGCTAGGGCAGACAGCTGTCAAATCCGAATACTTGTGCCCTCCAATGCTTCGGGTCGCAGGAAGCATCGCATCGTTAGGCCGCGGCTCAGGCAGAGCCTCCAAGTGGAAGTCGGATATGCTGAAGCAGCTTGGCAGACAGGCTCCTAGCCTCAACCAGGACCATGGGAGCTCTGGTCTCGAGCTCGATACCCGCCAGGGATCCTCCAGAAACATGCAATTCTGTGATGCCAGTTGGGCATGATGGGCGAGTTGGTGCTCAAACGGGTGATCACGGAAAGCTGCACCTTCCGCCGCGGCTGCGCCACGCAGGGCTGGTGGTGCCGTGAAGTCCGCAACTGGGAGCATCCATGCGGCGGCAGCCAGCAGTGCCAGGGTGCCTTGATGCCATCGGATGTAGGGATGCATGAGATGGAGCTGCTCAATCTGGCCCGACCCCTAGCTAGCCTCGGAAAACCAGCCTGCAACAGCAGGGATACATGACAGGACTGCAGGTCTTACCATGGTCACATCCGAAGACAGCAGCTAATGATGGCGACCCGGGTTGGAGGCTGGGGACGCACAGCGGAACTACCAGTCTTGTTGCATTCTGCTTTCCAGGATACACGGGGATTGAATGCAGCCAAAGCGCAAAGCAGAGGGCGACGGAAAGCCATGGTAGTGGCTAGGTCTGAGGATGCCTACCCTGAACTTGAGCTAAGGAGCTGAGATACAAAGTCTTATCCGGGTTGAGCAGGAGGCCCAATCCATCTGTTTCCCCTTTCATGCGGCACAGCAACTTTGGGATATGGTCATGAAAATCGGCCAACAATGTCCAGTTGTCAACATAAGACAACAATCGGGCACAATGGGACTTCATGAATTGCGTAATGCCCACGTCACCATGATCATTGCTGACGCTGCTACTGGACAGCCTTCTGGCACGCCGACTGTACTACCAGTGGGATTGTACAGTCCAACCTTTTAGGTTTTGACAAGCATCCGTGTAGAAAGTTATCAGCTGAGCACGCCAACCACGATGCTGGGCTAACTGCTTCAAGAAACGTCTTGGGAGGGTACAATATGCTAGACCTCCGCCAGGATAGTGCCGGCGGCTAATGCTTCCTCGAGGATTGCAAGTCCCAGGAAACATCTTCTGCACTACAGCCTGGAGCACTGCCGTACAGATCCTGTGTCAAGTGCGGCAAACGACCTTCCCCCACCATCTGTAAAGCGTTGGGCGTACCGTTATGGGGCGGGCCTCTTTTGGGGACATTGGCAGCTGTATTTTGGCTAGCACGGTACCTGCGGCATTGCAAAGGTTGTCTGGCCATGCTTCCTGTTCCAGTGCCAAGTTGAAAATGTCCGCCAGCAATTGCAAATCAGCAACTTTGAGAAGTTTAAGTTCCCCATTTCTCCAACCATCCATTCCCCGTGCTTTCTGAGATGGTAACTTGTGAATCACAAATTGCGAATCCTACAGTGATCTTTGCGCCAATTGGCTGTACCTGTGGCATTCCGTGAAGCAGTTTTTGCAAGATCTGTGGGTCAAGGGGCTGCGGTGCAGTCCAAAACCATTCCAATATTGTTGAACCTGATCGGTAACCAAAGTAGGGTTCCCTGACACTGTTCCCTGTTGCACTGACTTCCTTGTCATCTGAATGGAAGCAGGCCGATCAAGGATTGCAAAATTGCCACGCACCTCAACCACCGTTGTTTGGAGTTTGCCGAAGAGCCACAGGGCTCCTGGTCTTACTAAGGAAGGATCTTGCACCTTGAAGATGGCTGGTTCTCCGTTTGTTGGCCGGCAGAGGCGGACACTGAAAGCATGCAGGGTGCCCCAGTTGTTTGGTTTTATTGCGGCTGTATGCAGCTTGCCTCACTTCTTCCAATCTGCAAGGAAATCTGTGGAGTCCGATTGCCTCTTTTGGCTTCGCACAATGCTATTCCAATGTTTGGCCATGTGAAGCAAGGCTTGAGTCACGTACAGCAACCAATCGATTGCTGGGACTGACAGGGGAACCCACAGACATCGTTGTCCATGAGCCATGATGCAAAATCCGGCTTGAAACCCGGTGCTTTGGAGAATCTTCGTCCACAGCAAGAGCTGTTTGACATTACGAGTCTGCTTTGTGGCTAAGTGCATGACTTCCTGACACCAATCACAGACCTGCAGTCTTTGCTTGAGTACTGCCCGATCTGTCAGAATTTGGGTCGTGCTTGAAAAACGCAGGGTCGAAGGCTGGCTGTGCAACAAAAGCCTTTGCATACGACCTTTGAAGGCAACCAAAAGGGTCTGCTTGGTACGCTGATGGAAATCGTCTGCTTTGCGCTCAAAAGCCTGATAAAACAGTACCAGGGATTTCCCGGCATTGCCGTGATGCAGTGCTTGCTGGATGCTGGCTGTATCATTCTCTGCAAATTTCTGCCGTGACATCGTCTGCGAGAAGGGGACCCCTGCCATATCAAAAGGCGGTAAAAGGCATACTCCATACAGGTTGCGACTGTTGAACTTCATCCCAGCTGAAGTCTGCAGTGAGCACAGCATGGTGTGTATCTTTTCGTATAGGCCGCCAGGGACAGCCCAGTCAGGGCAGCAAGCTTCGCCACGGTGCAAGCATGCTAGTCATCCTTCTCTTTCCTTGGATTGCAATTTAATTGGCTTCCTGCTGGATGCGGACAGCAATTCACATGAAGAACTTGAGGAGGCGTCGATCTGCACCAAAGCACAACGGCTCCAACGAGGACAGCCTGCACAACACGGCACGCTCACGCAATAGTTGACTAGCTTCGGCAAATCCAAGCAAGAGCAGAGGTCACGGCTGTGACACCCCACTTCAAAGGCGTGTCAAACCGCAAGGCATCCCAGGCGGTGATGATGTCAACGTCCTGAAAATCGTTAGCTAGTGCAGCTACCAGTACCACCAGTAACTTGCAGCGTTTAGTCATAGACCCGACCTCCAAATCACGGGGTTTCAGGTCGCCGCCCGGCGTCACGGTCAGCCAAGGAACGCGGTAAGTCGGTGACTTTCTAAGCCTAGGCAAACAGGACCTGGACTCCAACACGCCGCGCCGCATACAGGCCAAACTGCTGGGTTACCTGCTTTGTCCTGGCATAAATAATCGGCGAATTCGCGTCCTCGTCTCGCATCTCGGTCAAGTACCTGAAGGCAAACAAGTTGTGAGAGGGACGGCTTGCGGAATGACATCGAATCTGTGAAGCTGCGCGAAATCGAGGCTGTCTCTACTGCAAGGCCCACCAACTGTATCGTTTGCCGTCAAGCGAGGCATGGACTAGAGCAAGCTTCACCTGCACCACACCAACAGCAAGGCTGTTGAATCTGCATGACCTGTTGTAGCTGGCGCCTCTTTTGCCGTCGTGTTGTAGGCACCGCAGCCCAGGGTGCAGCTGAAGACCATGGTCTGAAGGCAAACAAGAAAGTTCCTAGTTCAGCTGCGCTCGGACCAGCTTGCCCGCAGGCTCCCACCTTCTCACGCTGCTCCCAAGGGACGAACCGATCAAAGCTTTTGTGGTAGAACAGAGGCTCAAACCTAGGACACGCAATATGCTTGTCGGGCAGCTTCTGCCCCTTCCCAAGGCCCAGACTGGTAGAATCCATTGAACTGAGCAGCCTGCTCTGCAATCCAGTTGACGTCTGACTAAGCTTTAGCTTGGCTTGCCTCTGCTGCAGAGATGACTGGCAGCGAGTTGTTGTCAAAGGATATCCTGGCTCACAATCGGAGACCTCTTTGCAGCTCGACTTGCAAACGGGGGCAGCACGGGTCAATGTTGTCTTTGCCGAATCCACGCAATATCACCACCTGCAGTGGAAAGGGCCGTACTGTCGCCGGCGGCTGAGATGTACAGCTTCACAAGCACGAGCAGCAAAACTGCTGAAAACATGATGACATGTGGCAAAACGCACTACCGTTTTCGTGGACACGCGGGGCGAACGCGTCTCGAATTCGCATCTGCAAGCAATGCGAAGGTACAATCTCGGGATTGAAAGAAAACTGTGACAAGGAAGACACATTTTGTACTTTGACCTATTTATTGTACTACCTCGCGCACCTTTCGAGCCTTTGACCTGCGATGCTGCTACACATGTGCCCTTTGGTGAGAAGCAGGCTTGAGACCTGTCGCATGCTCAGCAAACGTGACTGCAGGCCCGCAACATATGTTGACTGAAGGGTCGGTTCTGAAGCACTAACATCAGAAATCATGTCGGCTCATGTCTTCATCGTCTGGGCATGCATAGCCTGGCAATCTGCTGATGTAGCTATGATAAGATTTTGGTCGGTGAAACAAATTTGCCGCGTTGTCAGGGAGCGGTCCTGATGGTTTCAGCTGATGAGTTAGCATCATCGTGAAGCAAACAAGCAGTCCTCGAGCCAGGCTTCATCTGAAGTGCCCTGAAACAGTGCTGGAGACACCAACAACGCCAGATGCACTGGTAACACTTGCGTCACAAGCTTAGATTCGGGGCATGACCGGGTCTGGACCCACTCATGACATGTAGACCCAGGCATTCGTGCAGAAACTGTTAGTGCCCCCTCCGCCAAAGGCACTGACTTGCGACCCTTTGACTCTGGAGCTGCTGCAGTTCATCTACCCCATGAACCATCGCTCCAGTTCAGCAGTGGAAGCTGATCCAGGCTTGCCAGCCGAACAAACTTGCCAGATGTGGACGCAAGGGAAATGTCCATGGCGGGAAAAGATCAACGGGCCTACTCCGTCAGGCTCCAGTGTGTGAGCCTGCTCCAAAGGATTCAACAGTCGAAGCAAGACGCTTCTAGGCCGTTGCTGAGGCTTCAGCAGGACTGAGCGTGGCTGAAGCCAAGCCTCTCTGACAAATTTCACAATTTTTCGCTGTGTCACTTTTCATGGTCTACATGTAGAAGCAAGGAAATCAGGGCCAGCCTGCATGACTATAGCCAGCACAGGCCGTTGTCGCCCTCCTGTTCTGAAAATTTATTGATGTTAGCAGACATGCACCTTCGCGATCCGTGCGCCAGCCTCTGGGGAGACGAGGGTGGAGTCTCATCAAGCTGAACGTACAGAAGGTCGTAGTGGCCAGGCCTGGTGACAAGCTTTTGAGGCAAATGGGACAGAGAACATGTTTCTAGGGAGACTGCCGCAACTGCACGTGGATCGTAAAAGTTTCGGCAGGCTCCCGCCCTGCCAACAGCAAAATAGGAGCCGAACACTTGGGCTTAAAGCTTGCAACTGCCTTCCGAAAAAGGCGGCACGTACTCTTCGAAAACAAGTCCTGATTGCTCGCTCCTGCGCTGCATGCCATGCGGGCCCCTCAACGCAAATTGCCATCACTTGTCCTGTGAAGCAGTGCTAGCCGAAGCCTGACATCCAAGGCGGCAACCACAGCATTCATCACCACCTTTGCAGGTTGCTTTTAAGCCCTAACAGACGACAGTTGAAAGGTTGATCTTATTCTTCTGCGGGCGAAAGGGAGGCCTACACCCCCCCCCCCCCCCCCCCGCGCACTGCCCCGCGCCCAAAGTCAGCGCACGCGTTCAGGTCGGGACAATCCCAGGACCCCACACTTCGGCAAAAAAGTCATAGTCAGTCCACTCAACCTCTCTTCTTCTTCAAGCTGAGGAGATGCACAGATTCTGCTTCGACGTCCATGGGAAGGACTACCTGCAAAATCTGATGAGGACGACAACCCTTCGTCACCTGCATTTTGTTCTTGTAGCAAACATGGCCTTTTCGCAGAAGTCTTCCGGGGAGCCCAGTCCTAAAGATCTGCCAAGCATGGTAGGGAGTTTCACTCGTGCAAGACTCTCAACAGTACCAACATGGATCCACTTTCTCAGAGCAAGCGAAGATGGTCAAGCACCATCATCACTGTGGTGAAAGCTAAACGTAGATGGACGCAGTGACAGGCGACAACATAAACATTCGCGAGTCATGCGAGGGCACTGCTTGAGCAGTGAAATTGTCCTGATGCTCCCCTAGGTCGCTGTGTATGTACAAACAGCGGACCTTGCACTTCTGGCAAGTCAGGCCTGGAACCTCGCTGAACTTGAGAACCAAGTCATGTGTTGACTTGTCGTGATTCATCAGTAGCACGGCGATCTTTCCAGCCCCAACAGGCTTGTAGAAGAACTGCCAGCGTGGTACCCTGGTCCAATGCGGCAAGTCTATGCCGCCAATCACGTTATTGAAGTCCTCCAACACCACGTGTGAAGTGGCCTGTTGGAAAGGGCTTCCGCTATGGCCAAAGTACGCTTGGTTGACAGCAATGATCTCTTTGTTGGAGACGATGTCCCAGACCTCGTCCATGATGGTGTCATTGTTGACGTCCATCGAGAGCGTCAGGGGTGCGGAGACAATTGCCCACGCGCTGAAATGGCTCCTGGCCTCATGGTAGCTCAGGCCGGGGTCGCTGGCACCACCTGGGCCGTGCTTGCAGCCAACCTCCAGCATGTCCGGATATGCCCAACACCCAGGCCTCAGGGCACGCACTCCCAAACATCGGTTTCACAGTAAATGCTACAATTTATTCATGCATTATTCATGCAACGTAACGGGGGTATTGGTTGGTGCTTTGCCTTGACAAGTTCTTCTGGGCCCACTGCACTGTTGTTTGCAGGTTGCCAACAACGCTGCCATATGAAGCTCGGACATCGCCAGACGTCCTGAAGAAATTCCACGGGCACCATGTCTCAGTAGGCACTGTCCTGCCCCAGTGACAATTCTCGATCATCACTGGCCGCCCTGTCTTGTTTAGCAAGCTAGCCCACTTGTCCAGGTCCAGCTGTCTGCCACAGCCATCCAGCTTCACGCCATCAAATTCAAAGGCCGCCAAGGCTGCAACATCCTCCTGGAAGAGCACCATGATTTATCATGACTTCAGCATTGCCCCCGGTGCGCATGAATTAGCCATGGAAAACAGGATTTCACAAAGAAAGCATTCAAATGAATGTCTCTTTGGGGCAGCCAGTCGGTGACTCCCTTGGTTCTTTCTTCCCTATTTCCTTGTCAATTCTGACTGCCAACCAAGTTCCTGGGGCAAAATAATGCGATCCATAAGATTTTGACACCAACTGGGCCTCGTACATGGCATCCGTGGCCGTGTGCTCCCGGCAGATGCAGTTGTTTCCGTACCACCCGGCGGTCAGGCCTAGCTGGTGCGCATGACCTGTCATGGCTGTCATATTCGGAAAGCGTGTGAGCTCCACAATGGGCTTCCCGGAATCGTCATGATAGGAATACTTGTGACCGCCCTTGCAGTCCTGCCAGTTGTCATCCAAGCCAACATCACAATAGCCAAGGTCACACAAGGAGGTTGGAACTCCGTCGACGGAACGCTTCTTTGACACCATGCCATCCATGATCTCTTGCATCAAAGTCTGGTTCACATTTGCCCCAAACAGGTTCCATGACCGCCAGCCCATGGGTGGAGTGCGGCCAAGACCATTGTCGATGGCCTGCGCTGTACCTGCCGCGGCGGCGAACAAAAGAAGGCTCCGAGGCATTGTGATGATCTATTATCTGGCTACTAAGCAATCGAGTAGCCAAGACCTTCGGAAGAGCGCAGCAAGATGAAGGAAGCATGAAAGCATCCCATAGGCTGCAGTGCATGTCAAGAATATCATTTTCTGCTGTGCTTTTGCGGAATGTCCTTGCACCTCGCAGAGCGTCCGAAAGCTGATGCCACCGCACATGTCGCAATCATCTGCCCTTTCAAGTATGCACCTGTCGAGCAGGTTCCAGCTTGCTCTGACACGTGCTTGACCATGTGCGAGGCAGGCTTTGCTTCTACGGCCGGCACTTGGCGGTCAGATGCCGGATGGCACGGATGCAGGACTGATCCTGAAATTTACAGGGGGAGCAAAAGCTGCGCAGACGAGGGAGGCAGAGGTGCAGGCAATGGAGCCAGCCGCAGTATCCTCGAACGCCTCCTGATGAGGAAACTGAGAGCTTATTTCACTTTCAAGCTTCATCTCACTTTCAAAAGCCCTCAACATTCGGGGCCGGGGCGTGGATCTGGCGCCGCTCGTCACCACGAGCCTCCTGATTGGGCGGTGGAGTCCGTGGGCATGACTCCAAAGTTTCTGGCTTTTTTCCCAAGTTGTTGTCGGTTCCAGGCGCCTCAGAAGCAATAGCCGGATCCCCTTTTTGGGGATGTTGAAAAACCATGGCTTTGCCATGTTTTCATGTTGACACACCACAAAGCTTGAATCCCAGTGGGGAAGAGTGAAAACGTAAACAGTTACCTGCAGTTATGTATATGCACATACAGAAGCATACAGATGTGTACACACATGTATACACACAAGATATATATATATATACATGCGCATACCTATGAACGCATGCATGCATGCAGGCATGCATGTGTGTTTGCATTGCACGAACATACCAGTCAGCCTCGGGGTCTTCAAAGCCCTTTGTGGCATGAAGCAAGTGCATGCGTATGTACAAACAAGGAAGCAGTGCTGGCCTGGGCAAACTTTAGAACGTAGCTACCTTTTCAGGGGCCTCACCATTCCCCCCAGAGGAGGTCGTATGTCCTCATCTTTTCATGAGGACGGACGGCTCACACATGCTCCCAAAGTGGCTAAGCATCGGGCCACCGTACTCCCATCACACACAGAATGACTACCTGCACGACGGTTGGGATTTCAAGCAGGGGATACCCATACACAGAACTCCGAAGAACAGTCTGAGCCATTCTGAGCCCAAAGCCAACAAACCCAAAAAGAACCACGGTTCCAGTAGGGCGGACCTTGCCGCGAGCTGCTGTAAACATCAGTGCCACACAGTGCGACACAAGTCTCGGCCCGCAACATCTGGACATTGAACCACTCCCATGCGGCATCAATCTTCTGGTTGAGCTGCTTGATTGCCATGCGGGTGCTGCCCGCCTGGCAATCACTATATGAGCTCATAGGTAGCCGGAGTCACGAGTCCTGGCTGACACTTCGCACCTGTTGGTTTGCAGCAGAGGAGAGCGAGGCTGGTCTTCGAGATCCGGCAGCCTTTGCAGCTTGAGTTCAACACATGGGTGGTTGTCAAAATTATGGTCCCTTCTTGGGTACCCTAAACATGAAGTGCCGTATTATAATAGGGATCCAAAAAGGGACCATAATTTTGACAACCACCCACATGGTGTTGAGGCTAACATTCAAATTGGCACGGGTCACTAGTCATTAGCACCCTGCCGATGCTCTGCGGCGGCAGTGCTCTTGCAATCTGTGGGCCTTGGGCAAATCCATGTTCGCGAAAAACACAGCGACAAGGATTTACAAGCCTTTGCCTGAAGGAAGTCACTGAGCTGGCAACCCACTCAATGGGTATCCGCTTCCCAGCTTTCTTGCCCATTGCAATCACAAAGCTTGGGACATAACCTCAGGCTCTCCCATGGTACCTCTAGAAGTGCCCACCTGCTCAAGTCTCTAACAGGACTTCATGAATTTTGGGGACATTCTCACCTCGGAAGGCAAGATGAAACATAGAAAGGCCCAAAAGAATGTTAGATGGAACATCTTCGCAGTGCACATTTAGTATTAGCAATGATTTTCACACTGATCATAACAAGAGTATTAGAAATAATACCAATACTAATAATAGTCTTAGTAACTGTGCTAAACTTGGCAAACAAACCTTGAGATTCAGGAGAGCTGGGCCGAATTTCCCGTGGCGACATGAAGAAACATTTGAAATCACTACTTGGGTGGGGTTCCCAAAATTCGGGGTACCATTTTGGTACCCCTAGAATAAGGATTACAGTATTTTAGGGTCTATGTTGGGGTTCCACTCATTTGGGAAACGACCACATCTCGTGAAATGAATGCCTGAGTCAAGCCGAACCGTCTGGTGAAGCTGGCATGCATGAACAAATAACAGCAGGCGGTTACCCCCCAAAGGTCGGATTAAAGCTCTATATGGAGCTCTGACATGATCTTGCCTCCTTCCTATGAATGTCTGAAGTGTCCTGAGGGCTCTGGCTGCCCCGGGGTCCAGGCTCCCAGGCCAGCAGAGTCAAATCAGGCTTTTCGTACAGCTGCTGCAAGACCCTGCCTACGTTTACATGCCAATGCGTCACCAGTTCGGCTGAGATACCTCCCAGATCAGTGCTGGAGATCGCCCAGATGCGCAAGCGCCCATCTCCTCTGCTAAGAGAAGAACTAAGGAAGCATCCGCCAAACCGTTGAGGCATGCTGGATGGCCGATGGGCTCAAATTATGCTGCAGGTTGCAAAGGGATGCCCAGAACCTTTGCAAAGTCAGGTTTAGCTTCACAAGTCGTGAAGGTTTGCAGACGGGACTGCGGAGCAGGACCTCAGGTTGGGTTGTGCGCAGCAAGCGGCTTTGAGGGGAAACTTGCAGTCAAACCTGCTTGGCCTGCGGCCCAGCGGAAGTTCGCAGAGTCGAGAAAGACCCATTTGCGTTGAGTCTAGAATTCCAAACCTTGCTGTAGAGCTAGCCGCTGACCCCTGAACGTTTGGCACGTCCTAGCTTTGGGCGTAAGAAACAGAGACCCAATCGATCCGCGCAATATGCGCAATCAGGTGTAAAGCATCAATATGATGTTTTTTCCTTGAAGCCCTGAAGTACTTTCACAAGGCCACCCCCGGAACATCAGAAACGAACGCATTTCTGGCAAGCACAAGGGTGCCGCTTGTTTGGCGGGCCTTTGCAAAGCCTCAACAGGGGTTGTATGAAAAAAGCATATTAAATCCTGTATAAACCTTCAACGTTTCAACCTTCTCTGTTCTTTTCTACTCCTTATCGTTTTACGTATTGATTCTATTTACCAATCGTTTACAGGTCAGACGCTATCTTGGAACACTCATGACATAACGCAGAGAAGCCGGGCTATTATGCAAGGTCTTAAAACAAGTTGTACAAGCTTCGCAGAGCTTGTCCCACAATTGCACTTTTTCTCAATGGCGTTGCCCGCCTATGACATCAGCCCCTCAATCCCAGTATTGACGATCCTGTCCTGGACTCCTGGTCACATGGAAACCAGAAAGAAGCGATGTCGCCTGGAAAGATCAGCAAGTGCGTTGCATTGCTTCCTTGCCAGCCACTGTAAATCGCCATGTAAGGCAGCCGCACGCACCCAGCCCTCCTGCGGAGGCCTGGACATCGCATCGACAAGCATGAGATAACAAGGAGTCATCAGAGGTCAAAAAGCCTTCCCATCAAAGCGCACTGGTCCAGCCGCGGCGATTTCATCACAATGGCCTGATGTGAGCTGGCACAGAGTCATACTGGCTGAGGTTGCATGTGCTTTTCGAGGCATATTGAGCTTTGTTTGCTAACGTAAACAAGGCTGCCGGCTGAACATCTATGCTTGAGTAGGTTCTGTGGGCGCGAGCTCTCAAGCAAGCCGGCTCGACACAGCCACCAGTGGGGTCGTCCGGAGATAGCAGGAAGCGCTCCTGAACAACCTCAGTACAACACCCATCACGCATCACCACGATGTCTCATTTAGGCTTAGACAGCATGCGAAGGCTTGTTTTTGAGAGGGGTACATCACGACCCGATATGCCGCCCCAGCCAGGGAACCTGCCGTTCGGTTTCTCACATGGCACATGATTCTGTGTCGCATACAGCCTGCAGTACACAACGTCTCCCAAAGCTCGGCTGGCTTGAAGTGGAACTGCCTGGCAATTTGCAGGCTCCAAGCAAGTGGCAAGCAAATGGCAAGCCAGTGCCAGTTTCGCCTCACAAAGGAGCTCGTAGGCCGCGAAGCTGACGCCATCCTCATGACCAACTGTCGAATGAATATCCAGCATTTCTTGGTTTCCAAATTTTTCAAACCTGAGTCGCCCACCCAGTCCAGCCTCTCCTGCAGGCTGTAGATTACCCAAATCACTTCCTGCGCACGGAACAGCTGTCACCGACTTTGGTGCTGATGCCAGACATGCCTCTGGGGACAAGTCCAAGTCCAAGTCAATCCTGTTGCGCGACAGATCCGAGACTTGCCATGGATTGGTGATTGGAGGTAACTTGTTTGTTCTCGAGGCCCTAAGTCACAAACCCATGGACACCATTTCGTAAGTCAAACCGCAGCCGTGGCACGAAGGAATTCAAGACGTGCAATGCTTGATCTGTCGTGCGCGGGGATCTGCTGAAATTCTCTTCGGTTGATGCAGGTGGGGCAATGTCTTCACGAGCTGCGTGCGACTTTACGTCTGGAGACCGACTTCAAAACCAGAGCACTACAGGCGCCTCGAGCAAATAAAGCCACAGCTGCTACCTGGCAAATCTGCTGCCCATACCTCGCTTGAGGGGGTCGGAGGTGACAGTTTAAGTCGCCACAGGTCATGAAGCCCAGGGCCAATGCTGTTGCGTCACCATCATCCACCAGCACACTGATCTCCATGCCTGCCACCTGCTCGAAGGCTGCTTGAAGGCTTGATTCGTTAAAGCTTTGCTTTAGCTTTGCTTTGGTGGCTGCAAGCCGCCTTCTCTCCAGCAGATGCAAGTTCACAACCTTTCGCAATCTCGGAGAATTCCTTGAA